TCTTAAAAATAAATATAGATGGATGAAATAGACATAAGCTAGCCGACTTGCTTTTTTTGTTTGTTTGTTTATTTTATTTTATTTTCCATGAAAGACACTTAAGCCTACCTGCTTTGATTAAAGCAGAGTTAGGAAATACATAAAGACAAGTTGAGAAATATAAAGTGGAACCAAATTCTTCATACCAGACTGCAAATTTGAAATCTAGAACAAACCATGAATAATGATAGCTAAGAAAAAAAAGGACAAAAAAGAGTTGCAAATTGCAATGAAAATAGATATATATATATATATATATGAATCATGCACACACATGCTTGCTATATGTATGGATCATGCACACACATGCATGCATAAGAATCAAATCCAAAAACTCATTACCAAATCATTAATTAACAAAAAGACGAAACCCCTTGCTTGATCCATCACCAGAAAAAAAGATTCCCAAAGCACAGTAGTGGGAAAGAAAGCCAAATGAGAGGTGAGAAAGGGGAGAAAGAGAAGTGAGACAGCCCACATGATCCTGTGTGATTGCCGAGGGATGAGCTGGATGCTAGCTACATCCGTACATTTCACATGCAATAGATAAGCACAAATATGCAAATTGGTGGGGGTGGCGCTGTCACTGTGGGTTCTAATAAAACGACACCAATTCAAGGGGAGAAAGGATAAGCAGCTTATCTTATCCCCTTTAGAGGCAGATTATTTTTTTATCATCATTTTTTTTTTTATTGTAAACTCTCTCTATCAACAAAAATTTTAGTTTCATACCATCTATTCTATTTTTTTTAGTGTTAACACTATTGAGTATTGACTAGGGTTTTGTTTTGTCGTCCAGATCTCACAGTGTTGATTTTGCAAAAGAAAATCTTGATATTTCTTTGTACTTGTTCGGCCTATACCATACATTGTTTCTAGGTACTTTTTTGTTTGGTTTTATACATATAATTCTATTATTTAAAATTTAAATTATATTACACTATAAAGAATCAATTATTGAATGAAATAGTAAATTCTAATATCATAGCCCTCTTAATTTAATTTATTAGTGTTTTAAAACAATTCAAAATTTCTTTTAATATACAGCTTGCATAAAATGCACCCGTCATTAGAAAAGTCATGAACTCAATCAGGATATACAAGTTACATGGAAAGGTACGAACTCAATCATGTTGTATAAGGAAATGTATTTCAAGTTTAAAAGGTACAAGTTGCAAGTTTTGAAGCCAATCATGACCCCTCTTAACCCAATTACATGCGGTTATATATGTATAAAACTTTGATTATTTATTATTTTATTATAGATAGTTCAAATTTATTATTCTAAAGTAAAATTTTATGTTAAATTTTTAAATTTATTTTAAATTTTAATTAAATTTTTATTAAAATAAATAAACTTTTAAATTTAGTAGTGTAGGCAATTTAATCATTTTTCTTTATAATGGATTTATTGCCTTTTTGTGCCTTCTTTACTTGGATGTGGTATTGACATATCATTACTTACGTATTAGGTATTGATCTTATCCATGCAAGTAAGATATAAATAAATATTAAGTTTGTCGTAAAATAAAGAGTTAAATTGTTTAAATTATTAAGTTTAAGGGGTTTATTTACTTCAATAAAAGTTTAAGAGTATAATTAAGAATTTGAGATAAGTTTGAGGGTTTAATGTAAAGTTTTGATTATCTTAAATGATTGATATATCTTCTATAATAAATCTTAACTATTTATAATTAAAAAAATAAATAATAAAAAATTTATATAAATAATATATAAAAATTATGCATAAATGAGCCATAACTCATATATATATATATATATATATATTTATTATGGATTGCAGTGTCACCTTGACACATTGAGGACTTAGTTTCAAAAGAAAAAAATGACATGTGAAACAATTGTCGCGGGTGGGCCTATAATGATATAATGGGGCGCAGTCCATGGGTCATCATAACCCATATGTAAACCATGCGTGGCTCTAACTTCTCGGTGGGTCTATTTATAGAGGATATATCTCGTAAAATAGT